CTAGCAAGGAGATCGGGCTGAAACTATAGCTACAAGCTATCCAAGGATGGTACTATAGAATGTCACCTCAAGGTAGGCCTAGTGGCGTCATCTCTTGGTTAGGCCGGAAACTTATCAATCCACCCTCGTATATAAAGACATTCTGTAGTATAATTGAGATTGTAGACTCGCTTGGCACTTGGTGAAACATTATTAAATAAAAATAGAAAATTTTTCAAAAAGAACACTTGGCTTGTTTCACAGATTTTTATTAATTCTGACGATCGTTTCGGTTACAACACCATTTTCAAACACCAAACACCATTTTCAAAGAGTATTAAATTAATGTTGTAACCGAAACGATCGTCAGAATTAATAAAAATCTGTGAAACAAGCCAAGTGTTCTTTTTGAAAATTTTTCTATTTTTATTTAATAATGTTTCACCAAGTGCCAAGCGAGTCTACAATCTCAATTATTATTATTTTTACTACTCCTTGAAAAAATGGTTTTACACAATTTTAGGAAATTTACTTGAATACCTACAAGGGGGCACCGTTACGGGGTGTCCTAAGCTAAAGTAAAAAATTGGTATGCAAGGGAAAAAAAATAGGGAAAGAGTGAATATAAAGATAGGAGACGAAAAATTAGAAGAACTGACTGATTTTGGGAAATTTAGGAAGTCAGATAATTCAAAAGGAAGGAATAGTAGAGATATAAAATAACGGAAAGAAGTCATTTCTGTGCTCGCAAACGGTTGATTTAGAAATTTAGAAAAAGATTGTTAAAGGTGTATGTCTGCAGCACAGCGCTGTACGGGTGCGAAACGTGGATGGTGGACGCGGCGAAAAAGAAAAGTTTAGAAGCGTTCGAAAAGTGGTGTTACAGGCAAATGATGACGATACCGTGGATAAAGAAGGTTAAAAATGAAGAGGTATTAGAAAGAATAGGAGAACAGAGACTATGGAAGTCAATAAGAAATAAGCGAGATAGGTTGGCAGGACAACTTCTTAGGCATGAACGGTTACTTAGAGGCATATTAGAAACAGACATGAGGGGGATGTGAGATGTCCTTATTTTCAAGGATGCGATAGGATAGAGTGAAAGTGCTTGTCCAACCAGTCCAGGCAGAAACAGGAGTTAAGAGAAGTAGAGGTGGACTTAGATCAGATTACTGTTCGCTGTTAGGTAAATGCGAAGATTAGGTCGGGATAGGAAAGAGTGGAGGTGCGTTTCCAATCAGTCTTCGGACTGATGACCTTATGATGATGATGATGATGATGATGATGATGATGATGTAAATGACACCAAAAATCCAATGTAAACTTGTCATAAACGAGCAAATAGATTTTAAGCTATTCTTACTCAGTAATACAAAATAAATACGTTTAACACCCTAAGCATTTACAGCTTTGAAAATAATCTAATAATCGAAACATCTGTCGATTATTTTCAAATAAATTTTATGAACTTTTTATTTTTGAATTTAATAGTATATTTATATTCTTTTTTTTTTATTAAACCGATTTCAATAGGAAATAAACAACCTTAAAGAAGGGGGGGAACTCTTTTTTTTATCTGACCCTAGCTTCACTTAAAGCTCGGCAATCAGTGGATGGTGTCAGTACCATGTACCAGCAACAACACACCTGCGCAAGGCAGATCCACCATAGCTCGGTCTCATCATCATTCTCATGGGTTTGCAAAAGGGCTGTTTTTCATGGGAGGCATAATTCGATATGCAGATTTCAAATTGCAATTTGCATATGAATGCAGTGCGTCCAAATGTCTGCATGTCGCCCCGTGGGCTCAAGTTCTCGTCTTGTATCCGCCCATGGTCTACGGACCAATAAGGTCATCGACACTTTTAGCCTTTGGCCGATTGTCGGGGACGCAAAGCAAAAATTTTCTTCTTGTATGTTCCTACATTCATGCACACACGTATGTATGTACGCGTACACGCATACATTGGAATATACAAAGCATTTGCATGGACATATAACTACAGGGTGTTTCGAATTCTATATGACACGGTAGAGTTAGTTGAAGGGGGAAGAAAATGGGGCAGTTGCTCCATCTGTAGTTTATGAACAGAAATAATTCAAATTTAATTTTTTTAATAAATCGAATTTATTGAATATAACATGAAGGCATCAAATACTAGTCATACCCTTTAACCTTTCACTTCGTTATATTCTCACCAATGAAAGTCGCCAATAAATATCAGGATAATCCCTAAAGTAAGAACCCGAAAGCGCAGGGGCCCCTATTGACCATANTTAACCGGTGAGGAGCGTATAATCCGTACAGTACTGCACGGAAAATTGGACCATTTTATCCACTACAATTGCATTGCTCAAATGTGCTGTTATTGGTACCATTTACTACTGAAAATATCAACGAGATGTTTATGTTTATTTGAAGACATATTAAAGGCTTTAACGCTTGTTTTCGACTCGCACTACTATTCATGATTGAGCAAAACTTTTAGCAGGTACTGTATGCAAAAGTATGTTTAATGAATAAGAGTCTAGAGTATCATGAGTTTTTTTCTCCCTACCTACGATTTTGCCAGCGCGCATCCATGACATTGGAAAGGGCGCATTGCTAGAGAAAGTAAATGAAGTATAATAACCTTTCATTTCCCTTCTGTCTTCATTTCTCCCGCCTCATTTTTCTCTCCCCAACCACCAGCCATTCATTCGTCTAATGAGGATCTTCCGCCATACCCTCCGGCTTTTCTCAGGAGTGTAAAGCAGAGTAACATCCTATCCAAAGCTTAGTAAGTAATAGGTATACAATACGCAAAAGCTTTCTGTTTAATTTGAGAAAACAGATTATGAAAAAATGTTTGAGCTCGTAACTTAGTCGTTTTGCTTTGTCTCTCTCATCCCTCAGTAGTCTGCTTTCTCGAGGTAAAATCCCATTTAGCGTACATTTTATACCATAATATTTAGAATTCTGGACAGCATGTAGATACTTTTGCAAGAAAACGGTTTGAAATTTATAACACACTTTGCAGAACGATTTAAATTTTGCAAAATCGGAACAGTTTTATGAATTAATAATTAGCATATGCCATCTAAAAACGTAGAAGGTTACTTGACGCTTTTGAAAATGTGAATTGTAATTAAGAAAAATGACACACGTTTATTAAATATGGAATACTCATACATATACTTATTAAATATGGTACATCATATCGCGACAGAGGAGAATAAATTAAATTGTTAATGAACAGCGGGAAACTTAAAAAAAAAATGTGTTTACCTAATACTACGGCATAATATATATGCAAATTAATATGAGCTTTGAAGTTGACGTAAAATTATAAATGACAATTGCTAGTGTTATCTTTCGAAATATTAATTTTTGCTTTTCTATATAGTGTATATACATATATCATTATCATAATGCCGTCAGTCCGAAGACTGGTTGTGCCCGCACCTTCACTTTTTCCTAATGCTGAGCTAATCTTCTACTTTTAACTCCTGTTTCTGCTTCTAAAATGTCTCTACCTCTTCATACCTGAAAAAGTATGCTACCAACTTATTTCGCCCTACTAACTCTTCATAGCGATTTCTGTTATCCTACTCTTTCTTATACCTCCTCGTTTCTGACCTTCTGTGTCCGTGGTATCATAATCATTCGCCTGTAACATCATATTTTGAACGCTTCTAACTTTTTTCGCGCCGCGCCCACCGTCCATGTTTCGCACCCACAGATATATCATATATAAAAGAGAAGTTTCTATGCTAAACGGCCCTTATCTTAAATAAAAATAACTTGTCAGACAGCATATCATTAAATAGATTGTAATTGTACCTTTTACGGAGATTTTAACGATGGATCACGAAAGAAAATTGTTTATTGGCTTATTTTTAACATAGCATTTCATTTTAAATCAACACCAAATATTTCTTGTTATGTAGATAAATTATTTATAATATTTACTTCTTCCCTTATTGACATCTTTCCTTGAGAAACCTTAAAACCAATAGGCGAAACGTCGGAACTGGTTTCAAAATGTAAAATATTTATTTGACAAGTTGTTGCAAAGATGCAAATCATGTACCTACAATACGTATAACACATAGATACCGTGTACTAATACAACAAATACTTAAAATAAAAAAAATCATAAGTTGTTTTAAACATATTTAAACACTTCCCATTAAAGAATACAATTTAAAACTTGACGATATTCAATCACTAAGTTGAGAAAAATAATTTCTATCAACTTATCACAATTTATTTCAATGAAGGTACTAGTTTTATCGATAATGATACCTACCTACCTACTAAGTCTAAAAATAACGAAATTATTGTCAATAATAATGCAATTTTATTATGTTTATTGCTACAACTAGCATTTATAGATAGATACGTTGTTCTTTGTATATAATTTTTTATCAGAAATTCATAATAATTTATTTTATCTTTCTAGATCTTCCAATTTCTCGCAACACCATAATCTACTCTTCCAGAGGGCCGGTAAGTCTTTAGATTTTAATTTAAATTTCTGGCGTACACAAAAAGTCGTATCCCATTATAAATTTTTACGGCAAAAAATAGATATTAACGTAACTATAGAAAAGCATATAAATAGTTAGGTTGTTTAAATGCTTTAACTATTTTGGTTTTTAAATCTTGCCTGATAGAATACTGGTGAAGGGGTGTGAAATTTTTAAAAGCTATCATAACATCTCTAACATAATTTTTTGGATGTCCAAGGAAAAGTTAATAAAACTTTAAGATGGCTTGAACAGTTTAAGCTTTAAGGGTTAAAAGGTTAAGTACATTTATTTTCTCCAGTCATTATCTAGAATTCTAGAAGACAGTAGGAAAGTTTTGATGGTGTTGTAGGACACTCCAACGACTCCAACGTCGAAATACTACACTAAGCGTCCGAAATACTTTTTCGTAACATGTTTACCTTCTTCAGGAACTGAAGAGAACTAATAGCTAAAGAAAAATTGGACACTTAATTACTAGCTCTCATGTTACGGTCAAATGAACATAACTTGAAATGTATCTGTAATATCCAGTGGGATTGTACCTTTTTGCTAGTTACAGAGCTGGGCCTGTAACATAGAGAAGTAAATATTAGGAAGGGAGTCAGGCAGGGATGCACACTGTCACCACTACTTTTTAATTAATACATCAAAGACGCGATCAACTACATTAAAGACAGTACAATTGTAGGGATAGATATACAGGGGCAAAAGATTAGTATGCTTGGATTTGCAGATGATATAGCAGTATTAGCATCTCGTAAGGTAGAGTTAGAGATAGCTTTAAATAAAATGGAAGCGGTATTGTCGAAACAGTACTGTATGAAAATAAATAAAAGTAAAACAAAAATACTGTATGCAAGGGAAAAAAAGTAAGGAAAGAACGACTGTAAAGATAGGAGACGAAACATTAGAAGTGGCTGATTTTAGGTATTTAGGGAGTCAGATAAGTCAAAACGGAAGGAGTAGTAGGGATATAAAGCAGAGGATAGTGCAGGGTCGAATCGCCTTCAATAAAAATAAATAACTTATATGCTCGCAAACAGTTAATTTAGAAATTCGAAAAAGATTGTTAAGGGTGTATGTTAGGAGCGCGGCGCTGTACGGGTGTGAAACATGGACGATGGGCACGGCGGAAAAGAAAAGGTTAGAAGCTTTTGAAATGTGGTGTTACAGGCGAACGATGAGGATGCCGTAGATAGAGAAGGTTAAAAATGAAGAGATATTAGAAACAATAGGATAACAGAGTACTCTATGGAAGTCAATAAGATGTAGGAGAGATAGGTTGGTAGGACAGCTTCCCAGGCATGAAGGTCTAGTCAGAGACATATTAAAGACAGAAACGGGAGTTAGAGGTAGGCCTAGATTAGACAATTGTTCGCAAATAATTGTGGTTGTTCTAGTTTTAGGGAAATGCGAAGATTAGCTCAGGATAGGAAAGTGTGGAGTTACGTGTCCAATCAGTCTTAGGACTGACAACCTTATGATGATGATGATTGTGTTGTATGGTCCACTAAGTATTGCGCTTACGCTTACAGTTATGTTCTGTCTGAAGAAGGTAGCCTATTACCGAAAAGTACTTCAGATGCTTAGTGTCGTATTTTGGTGTTGGATCTGGGCTACTTAGAGCGTCCTTTTCAAGACATAATTTGTATTTTCATTATAATAATCACAATGATCACGATTTGGATTTGGGCGGACTAATATAGGGACGCTCTTCATATCAATATCTCGACACTCTGTATATGCTTCAGCGGTAACGGTACTTCCCCGATTATGTACCTATATTAAATATAAGATTTTCATTTACTTGATTACTGTATTGTATTAGCGGCCTTCATTAGATAACTTAACGCATTTTTAACATGCGATATGTGTCTTTTTAATATCGTTACTGCCCGTCAAATATTTTTCTCTAGCCGGTCAGAAAATGCAAATTTCTACCGTGCACATACACGAACTCTGTCAGAAACCACTTCAGAAATGTTTTAATATCAATTTGTTAATATATGCAGATAGTGTACAGTTATGTTGATTGAAAATTAACAGGCAGAAGACTACCCTACATACTAGTGCTGTTTCAATTAAGTTGAGTCACTTGCTAGTGCTCATAATGCAAAGTTTGTGGACTTATGTTGCTGCAAATAAAACTCTATTTGAAACAATTTTTGAACTTGGGGTATAAGTAAAGTGACCATATTTTTTTGTCAAAGCGGGACGTCCCTTGTAGAATTATGTAGAAAAAAATTGTCGTTTTACAAGTGTTTGTTCTCTTGAGGAAATTTTTGTCTTGAGTGAAAGATAACTTTCTTGTATCCTCAAGTCGCACGCTAAATTAATGGCGAGCGATCTAGTTATTGCTTTTCGGTAGTGAAAACACTTGCTTTTAAATTAACTATTTATTTACATATATACAAAATGAACGTGTGTGATTTAAACTTAAAAAAAAACAGATGAAAAAACAGATAAAGGAAATTAAAGTGGAATTGAATCTTTCTTTTTTCGTTCTAGTTCTTGATCTTTATGAATCTCCCTAAAATGAGCCATTGCAACCCCTTTTATTAGGAATGGTTGACAGAAACCACCCCACTCTTATTATACACAAAGAAATAAAGTCGAGCATACAAAACAAAAAACTTTCTTCTAAAACTGACTCGACGAAAATATACAATGTAAACAAATAATGGCACTAGAAAGCGTGCTTCTTAATTTCTAGCTACCCTAATAAAACAATAAATTTAAATTCAATAATACTAATCCTAGCCTAGCAAAGTGACACTAAAGGGTCGAAGTGTACTACACAAAAGAGCTATAAATCTATCTAAACATGAAACTTACAAAGAAAAAAAGGTTAAAATTAACGAACAAGAGGCATTATTTACACATACTATAAATTAAAAAGGTTAACACTGACAGGGGTTGCCACGCTAATTAAACATTTACAATTTAACAAAACTTTACTTCTAACAATAGATAAACATAAAACTTTTTTTTATACGGTGAATACCGAACAACAAGTTTTTTTATTAGAAAAGGGTAAAGTACGTTACATTACTTCTAGTTAGGCTGTATTTTATATTTGTCGACTGAACAAATGTTTTTTAAAACCTCTGTTATCGTTTTTAGGTACGAATAGACCTCATTACATGATTTATTTATGTTAATCTTTGTAATCAAAATGGCTTTCAATACTGAGACGCTCAACTGTGCAAACTCGTCGAAAACTTTGGTGTCCTGATCCTTACAAATAAATTCTTGCGTTCGGCGCACTACGCTACGCGTTGTGGCGTAGGTACACAATAATTGTAAATTAAATTATCATTTGGTTTTTTTGCCCTCGCTGGGGACAGCGGGACGGACAGCCTGAAAGCGGGACTGTCCCGCCCAAAACGGGACGTATGGTCACCTTAGGTATAAGTGCACTTTACAACATCCTCCTTGAAACTGGCTTCAAACGAGCCAAGCCGCGGTTAAAGTCTAGCAAAGAATATATGTGCGATAGGGGTGAAAAAATAATCGATTTTTTTTAATCGATTTTTGTTCTTGTAATTGATTTTTAACAATCGATTTTTTTATAAATCGATTATATAAATTACACTAACTTTTTATTTTTTATAGTATGTATTTGTAACAATAATTTTGTTTAGTTTCTTTATTGTTGCTGAAAGTTTAGAGATACATTTGTTTTGTTTTTTAGTTGTAAAACCACAAAAATCGATTATTTTTTTGAAAATCGATTATTTACAAATCGATTCATATTAAAAAGAGAAAAACCGATTATTAAATAATCAATTTTCTTTTTCTCAATTCACTTTTCTAATGTGCGATATCCAACTGCAATCACTTGCCAAACACAAAATCTTGTCAAATCGGATGCGCACTACCTTGCTGCGCAGCGGACGATCTGGATTTATTTTCCGTTACCAGCGATGTATCTACATATTTGATTATGCTTTATGATAAGCAGCAAAGTTACTTCCTGTTTTATGATGTGTACCTACTCGTCTTATGCATTAATGCAACTTTCTTTATTCGTTTGAAACCACCTTCGATGCGAATATATATAAATATAACTGAAGTGAACCCGCATCCTGTGTCAGAAGACCAATATTCTCCAGCGGACGATTGCGTAAATTACCCAATTAACGCATAAAACGTTTCGCGCTATACTCGGCGTGGAAATGCTAATGTTCGAGTCAACAGTTCGCACGTAAATCAACTCAAAGATAGGAGATGCAATTGCTGTAGGTACCTAAACAACTTATGAATAGATCGTGTATAAGGAATGGTCGAAAATAAATATGCTGTATAATAGAGGTAAAGATTTACGAGAAAAATTATCGATTCATAGCGCCATTAGCTACCTAAATTAAACTTTACCATGATCACACGTATTAATAATTTGCAAAAAGAATTATTTTTCAAAATTGATTACTCGATTTTGTCGTTTCGCTCATAGATCGGTGCACAAAAACCAAACCATTACTGAAAAGAATGTTCTTAACGTTTTCCAATTTCCAATGCTTAGTTTTGTTTGGAAAAGACAGAGGGCGAGCACCAAATGATTTTAAAACAGTGTGTAATTAAAGGTATCTATAAATCTGTAAAAAAAAATCAAGATCTTGTCTGACATATACGAACATACACATCGAAATAGATTTTTTTCTAAAATCGTAGGAGGCCGCGGTCTTGTTTTGATATCACGGAGAATATTCAATAAACTATTTTTACTGCAGCGTTTTATACTTTTCGTTGAATGTATCAACTTCTAGCTATTTTTAGAACCTAAAAGATTAAATCAAAAAACACAAGACCCTGCAACATTTTTTGTTGTATATTATTATCCTCTACTCAGTTAGAAAGTTAAAAAATTGACCAGGGATACTCTCTGGGAAGAGGGGACGAATATTTTTCCCAAAACGACCCTTTGGCTGAATCAAAATAAGAAATAAATTGTAAGTGCATCGTTTTAGAAATGGAGACTTCAACGTTAGATCAAGAAGGAAACCTT